GACAGGTTTATCCACATGTAGAATCCACACTGGATGACATATCATGCACATGGAGGAATCACTCATAGGACTGATGCTCCAGCATCTATTTCCACTGTTGCTAAACCTGATGAACATGTTAGCTGGCACAGCACATGAAAGTAACTTCCAAATAAATGAATGAACTGCCTCTTTTAATAAAACCATGTGAAACATGTTTGCCTGCTATAAAAGTTATCCCTTCTTTTGTATATCCTTTCTTTTGCAGGACATTATCAGGCCATATGCCTAAAAGAGGTCTTAAAAGACCACTGCCTGCGCGTGAAAAGGAAAGGCTGTTTGTCATCTTCACTAACAAAATGAAATCCCAGATTCCATACCAAGGAATTCCAAATGTTGCTCTCTAGATATGTATTTCAAGTAATACTGCCTATATAACAGTTGTTTTGGCTAGACACCTTTCCCACTCCTGTTCTTGTTTCCTTTCGCTTTCTATTTTCTGGCCTTGTTCCTGCTGTGCTCTTTTCCCCGTTTACTCCCTCTGCTCCAGAGCTTGCTTGATCAGCCTTTCCCTCTGCTTGAAGATTACGGATCCTTCTGAAGTATGCAGGATATGGGGCTGCCTAAAGGCCCCATGGAAAAGAACTCTCTGTCCTGGTTGAGGAATTCTAGCAAGATACTGCTATAGGTTACATATAGTTTTTAATTAACTAGAACAATATACCTATTTAAAACACACACACACAGCTGCCTGGACTTGATTTTCTTCAAATTATGACTGACATCCATTTATACACCCTTACATTATTCTATATGGCCGCACAATTGATGTGTCTTATTTAAACAATAATACTATTGGATTTGTATAACATTGCAATGAAATGAAGAAGGAAATGGATATGTCAAGATGTGAAACAGTGTGTGTATAGAGTGTTACAATAATTAACGGAGTTACAACATTGGTGGAATAGCTCAATGGTTTAGGTATCTGGTTGTGGAGCCATAGGTTGGGAGTTCAAATCCCCACTGGGGATTTGATAGGGAGATTGGAGAAACACATATCATCATTCACTTCATCAGCACAAGAAGACAACATGCCATGCCGTATACACCGGATACCAGCAATACTGATATTGGGCACCAGTCATTGAAGAGCAGCAGGCATGTAACAGCACGGTAGCAGGATTCCTTTCCAGAAGCCAGAAACACAGTCATATATTTCCCTCCATAGATGCAAACCGGCACATGGCTAGCCTGCTTGGATGAGAACATCATCTGATATTTTTTCATGTGTGTCCAGTAATATGCTTGAAGGCTAACAATTACTTATAGTGCTTTTTTTAATATTTTATTTTTTAACAAAGGGTAACAGAAAGGAAAAATGGATTGAGGTCAAAGGAAAGAGGAGAAACAATGACATACTAATATCCATTCTATACATATTGCCATCTCAAAATTCCAAATTGCTCTTTTTACTATTTTCTGCCTTCCAGAATTAAGTTCTAATTTTAATGCATGTTCTTCAAGCGATGTCTGATGACTCAAACCATTTGTAGAATAAGTCCCATCTTTCAGTTGCCTTTTGTAGAGGACAGTCCTTCATCACTTCTGATAAAATGTCAATTTCTGCTGTTTCCCTTATCTTCTCTATAAGGTCTTCTTGTTTCAGTACCGTCGGACTTTTCCAATTTTTGGCATAAAGAATTCTAGCTGCAGTGACTATGTATATAACTATATACGTCTTTGCATTATCTATATTGTCAGGTATCATACTCAATAAAAACAGTTCTGGTGTTAATGGAAACTTACAAAGCAATATTTGTTGCAGCACAGCATGTACTCTTATCCAATACTCTTTCGCTACTCTACATGACCAGCACATATGATAATAGCTTCCCACATGTGCTTCACATTTCCAACACACATTGATACATCTGTATACATTTTCGACAATTTTTCTGGAGTCATATGCCACCTGTAAAACATCTTATATATATTCTAAGTTATAGTGCTTTTTACTTTTAAATGATGTGCTTTAGAGCAGTATTGTCTGCCCCTTATTTTTTATCTAAGTGTGCCTGTTTAGGCTATAAGCATCTGTATTTTTAGAATGTAAGCTACACCTATTTTGAAACTTAATTATAACATGATTTAAGTTCTGCCTGCAACTTAAGTTTTATTTTTTAATGTACTTTTGTTTGTGATGAATTTTGGATGGCAGTCATGTCTGCAGTTTTTTTTACAGTTGGAAGGATATGTTGTTTAATCATTTCTGCCTACAGTTTTCCCACAGCTGTAAGACTTTTGGATATTTTCAAACTTTGAAGTATTTCTGTGCTTATGGAACATAGAGGCAATGTAGATAAATAAAATTTGTAGAATTAGACAAGCTGATGTTGCCTGGAATCATTGCAACATTGAAAAGACTTACACCTTGAAATTCAGATATATTTTGATATCATTGGGAATGGTTGCCTGATTTAATCCTTGAATTAACCTTAATTGGGAAAAAACGGTTACCGGTCCACTTCTATGCCAGGTTCAAGGTCCTGGTTCTAACATATAAAGCCCGAAATGGTTTGGGATCCTGTTACTTCTCTGCATATCTTCTTCCAAGATATTTGACCCCATCATGTCTGCGTCAACCAGAAATCAGGCCTTCTCAGCAGTGCACCCTGTCTATGGAATGCCCTGCCACAGAAAATCCATCAGGCACCCTCCCTTTGCACTTTTAAAAAGCTCCTGAAAACAGAGCTTTTAAGGGAAGCTTTTGTGGAGGGCCTTCCCAGTTAATTAGGACAGAGGAGGAAAGTCTTGTATGAAGGGAACTGTTATTTTTTGCTGCCTCTCTTGTTACAGGCACTCCTCACTTTATGACCGAGTTCTGTTCCTACAAGTAGGTTGTTGAGCGAATTGGTTGATAAGCAAGGAGCAAAAATACTGTATATAGGAGTAATAAGTCACGTGCTGTCAAGAAGGGGCATGGTGAAGACAGAAGCAGGCATTTACAAGGTGTTGAGATGGGCGTAAGTCCGAGCAGTCGTTAAAGAGGTAGGTTGTTAAGTGAGGAGTGACTGCATTTGTAATTATAGTATATCAGTGTCTTTTGTAGTTGATTTTATAATATATGTGCTTTGGATTTTGTTGTACACCACCCAGAATAGACACTTTGGTAGATAGATGGTATAAAAATTTAATCAATTGATCGATCAATTGATCTATGCCAACTGTGATAAACATGGGTTTCTGATTTTAACCAAGAGACCTATAACATAGGTTCTTAACTTATGGTCAGTGGATCCTCACAGGGGGTCCATGAAGGCCTCAAGAAATGTTACGATCTTTCGCAGTTAAAAAAGAAAGAAAGAAAGAAAGAAAGAAAGAAAGAAAGAAAGAGAAAGAAAGAAAGAAAGAAAAAGAAAACGTAGAACAAAATCGTAATTTCCCTTTCTTGTTTGTGTGAAACTTGGTTTTTCTAATCTACCTCCTCCACTAAAAACAATTAAAAAGTAAACATTGATTACAAAAATAACTATTTGACAGTAAATAACTGTTTGATATTTCTGCACACAGTGAGAAAATGCAAATGAATTATGCTGAGTGGCTGAGAGAGAGCACGTGACATTTCTTGCTACTGCTCAGACAATCAGATGGTGTGAGAAGAGAGCGTCCATCAGTCATACAAACTTTGTGATCATGTTTCTCCTTTGATTTTTGCCAACAAAACCATTTGGTTATTGTCGGGTAAAGTGACTTCAATATTATCACAGTGAATTTTGTAACAATACATTTTGGCTGAGCCTTAAAATGGATTGCTGGTTGAATCTGAAACATAAAAGAACTGTTACTGTTGATGAAGGTGCATTGTGTTCGTAGCAAAATGAAGCTTATTCCAGTTATCTTAAAAATATTGCGAACTGTTACTGTTGATGAAGGTGCATTGTATTTGTAGCAAAATGAAGCTTATCCCAGTTATCTTTAAAATATTGCTGTTATAGCAATGAATATCTGTTGATGAGACGCTTCATGAGAAACGTTAAATAAATATTTGATGGATTTTAGTTTTTAAACCTTGAGTTACGGTAAGTCTTGGTGGTCTGCAGCAACAAAAATATTTAAAAGGGGTCTGAAAAGGTTAAGAACCACTGGTCTGTAACATTCTTTAGGGCTTTTACAGAGATGTAAAAGAGTCAATAAGAACTTTCTCTTTCTAGATTATATGATAAAATTCTCTTCAAATTTCAGTGAACCCAACTCAAAAATAAGCAAAGATTTTGGTCTGAAGAAAATAATAATAATGAGATAACTAAACCATGCTTACTTCTTCCCCATGGGAATATGTGAGATGGTAAAACTTATTAACTTGTTCTGGATCATATTTTGTAAAATTATCAGATCAGTCATCTAATAGGTACATAGAGTGGAAAAGACAGGATCTTACCCATAGATGAAGAATGCTGTGTAATTCATTCACATTTGTAGAGCAGACACGTATTTACACATAGGTAGTTTATATGGAAATCTCGCTTTCTGCTTTCCCTTGGTCCTCTGCCCCATGTATAAAATTTTAAACTTGAATATAAGTGCCTTTTGCCATGGGGAGCTGCAGGACTTTCGTTAATCATCTGGGCTCAGTTTCAATTCCTGCAAACATTGGCAAAATTCAGAATCTTCAGTTGGAAGAACAACATTCCTGAAATATACAGATTAGATCAATCTATGTCATTATTATTTTTCTTATTTCACTTTATTTGTCAACAACATTCCCCATTTTGTACTATATTTTTTGAACATTTCCCTCGACCCCCCACCCTCCACTGTAATTCTTGAGGTCTGTTCCCAACTGCCAGGACTTTAACATGTGGACAAAATTTCAGATCACTGTCATCATCAGAGAAAAAGAGGGGAGGGGGAAAACACAACATGTCGTGTACGTTACCTCATGACTATTTGCATAATGGGTCCAGAGACAGCACTGTATAAGAAGGAGAGGAGAATGAAACCGGGAAGGAGAACTCAGCAGCAGTTCAGCTGGATGTCTCATGTGCTCCAAAGGACGAAGGTAACTTTGAAGCACAGTCGTCTCAACAGCTGCTGGAACATAGTGAGCTGAAGCAACTCTGTGGAAACCTCAGGCAAGGAATAAAGCACCAAGGCAGCAGGTAAGTTTGCTTTGGATTTCATTGCTTGCTTTACCCTTCTTACAGAGATTAAAGCTGAGTAACAGCATTCAAGTCTATCTGCTAATATACAGATGTTAATCTCTTATATTTTTGCTGTTTATAAAATCATGCTATTTACTGTGGGGAAGGGAGAGAAATGTGCCTATTCTGAATGTCACTGGTAACTTCAGAAGATCTGCACTTCTTTTACCTAGCAAAATATTTCATTTTAAGTAGTGAGTTCTGATTATTCATCTCTAAGTTAATCGGGTGGAAGCAGTTGCTTTACAAAAATGCAATTGTTTACCAAATGAGTGTGTGGGGGGAATTACGTAAATTGGCAAATGTGCTGTTCTCTTTCTCTTCTTAGCCTAAATATTTGCCAACATGTTCAAGTATGGTTTGGTCTTTCGCATTTTGAGTCATGACCCAAAGTGCCTTTATAACATTTACTTTTTAATGAGAAGAGATAACAGTATGTCTTTTATGTTGGATGCTTCAAGAGCATTTTATAAATTCCATAAAAACTCAGAAATAATTATTGCTTTTCATGAAAGATGAAACAAAACAGCTCTTTAAGAATGGAAAACATTTTAAGCAAGCAATAATATGATTTTAAAAAGATAATAATAATTGCATTCAGTCAATTCTGATTTACGAAGACCCTTTATAGCAGAGGTCGTTAACCCCTGGTCAGTGGCCCGGTGCCGGTCCATGGCCTCAGCCAGACTGGGCTGCGGAGACAGACCTCCCACCCCCCCTGCACACACTCCCTCCCCACAGCTGCTTCACGCATGCACGTGCCAGCGCTGGTGTAAGCACTTCCCCACCCCTTCACGCATGTGCCCGAGTGCCTGTGCGAAGGAGTGGGCAAGTGCACTGGTGGGTGTGCAGGCACTCCTGCACATGCGCGAAGGGGTGGGGGAGCACTTACACCGGTGCTGGCAGGCACATGCATATTCTCTCACTGCTTCACACATGTGCCCGAGAGTGCACATGTGAGCACGGGGGGTGCCCCACCTTCCTCAGAGGCTCAGCCAGTCCACGGTCCCAAAAAGTTTGGGGACTGCTGTTTTATTGGGTTTACCAGATAGAGAATACTCAGAAGTGTTTAACCATTCCCTTCTTCTGGGGGCACCCTGGGACTGTGCAGCTTGCCCACACATGCATTGTTTTTTTTGTTGTTGCATCTTTACACATCATATGTATAATATGTAACAAGATCTAATCTGGCATTTCAAAATAAACATTATATATTGGTTGCTGTCCTCTGAAGATGCCGGCCACAGAGACTGATGAAACGTCAGGAAGAACAACCTTCAGAACACGGCCAAAGAGCCCGAAAAACCCAGAACAACCATTAGATCCCGGCCATGAAAGCCTTCGCAGACATTATATAGTTTTAGGTCTTCATCAAATGGGGAGCTTGAAAACCCATACTAGAGTGGGTATTTGTTTTAGTTACATGTGGCGATGACAGGAGGCACAGAGAGAAACAGAGAAAGAGAGAGAGAGAGAATTTTATTGTTAGTTGAGGATGATAAAACAATACCAGTACATATTTTTCGACTGACTCGCCCCCAACTTTTCTCAAAGCAGCCATTCCCATTCATTTGAAGACCTTCATGCAAACCGAAAGGCTGTCCAGAAAATTAAGAGAGAGAAGTAAGTCATCACCCTGGGCGGCTACTGCGTAACAGCAGAAGAGCTTGCATTTAACCCCTAGACATCCCACATTTCTCTGACTAGGTAAGAATATGGCATCTGTCACCATATTTATTTCATACTCCACCACCCTGTTTTTCCTTGCAGGACCCCAATGGCACCTGCTCAGTGGCTCCTGCTGCTCTTGTCCCTGGCTTTCATCAGTGTCTCTGTTAACGTGGGGCAACTGCTTCCAGAGGGAGATGAGAATGAGGAAAAAAGCCATCTGGATGACATTGTCCAAAAGGCAGAAAACATCCTATTGAGGTCTGTTTTTAGGAAAGTGGAGGAAGATGATGAAGATCCTAACAAAGGTAAACGGGATTTGAGGGGCTTCTGGGACAACCCAAGCTGAAATCCATTCTTCTGTTTATTTATATATTGCTTTCCTTCCCAGAAAGGTCCTTCAAGTGCTTTGTATTTAGGGCAGATCAGTAACAGCTTTTAGGATAGAAAAAGTTGTTACTGATCTACTAATAAATTGATCTCTTTATTACCTTGCTCTGCTGCTGGTAATAAACATGCAATCAGTTTTATTGGGTCCTTCAAATAACTTTTGCATCCTTTCTTTCTGAGTTCTACATTAGCCTAGCTTCTACGAGATATTTTCCTCACAGGTACAATCCCTGGTATTTCCCGATATGGGCTAGAAAAAAATGGTCTGGAACACTAGAAAACCCCTGCATCTCACTATGATGCAGGGGTCTGACTATGCATAAGGAGCTTCCCCTAAGCCTTAAGGTATGTTGAAGGACCTATATATAGATCTGTAGTGATCTGCAGAGGACTGATGAGAGTCGACAAACTCCGAACTGTTTAACAGTACTTGATAATCTCAGATTTTTTGAATCCCTCAGAATTACTACAGTTACTTTTCTGTTGGGAGGTTATCCCCGATTATATGATTCTGGACAAGCTCTGTAAAAGATTATTGGTTTCTCTCCAAAACACCATATTGCATCTGGATCCATTTGCTGGAAGCTGAAATTCTAGCAGGAACCAAAGTAAATCCCACAAGCCTGAAGTCTGCCTTCCTTTGCCTTAAAAGATACAGATTAGTCTGTGTAAGAAAATTTCACAATCACAGAGTTGGAAAGCATCTTGGAGATCATGTAGTCCATCCTCTGGATTTGCCATGCAGGATGCAACTACAGCATCTTTGACACAGCCTGTCTAAATACCTTCAGGATGGGGCTCATCTATTTAGTCCTGTGACTCTATGATGGCTTACCTGGGGAGTATAACTATTTCAGTTTGCTCTCTAGCAAGCCAGAACACTGTAGGCACTTCTTTGCTGTACCTCCTTCAAGAGAAACGGTTTCTGTAGGACTTAGACTTGTTTCTTCAGATCTTATTATCTGAGAGCCTCATAAGATGAGATATTCATTCCGTATCCAGGAGCAGTGCATGCTTAAAAGGAAAGGAAAGGAAACAAAACAAGAACTGGGGTTCAGTGGGGTCTCGACTTACGAACGACCCTACTTGCAAACAATTCAACTTACACACCCGCCCTAAAATAAGGACTCGACATACTAGGCTTCTGGAGGGGGAAAAAGGGTCAGAAACTTAAAAATAAATAAAAGAAAGTCACTTACCAGGCCTTGGTAGCCCCCAAACAGCAGGAAAAAGAGCAGGAAACAGCTAAAAGCCAACACCCAGAAGGGAGCCTGGCAGCCATTTTATGATTTCCCTCCCTCTTGCACCCTCCTCTCCCCGCCTATCAGCTGATTGGCTGGCTCTGAAGAGGCTTGGGGAGGCTTGCTCAGCACCTAAAAAGCCTGCCTGTGTGTCTTTGTGCTGAAAAAATCAGCACAACATGCTTTAAAACATGATTTTAAATTGGCCTCGTTGAAAAAAAGATTTCTAAAGTGCTTTGCAAACTGTTCCCTGCCTAAGAAAAAAAGAAAAATATCCCCCTCTAGTGGCAGAAGGCGGAATAGCAGCTTCCCATTAGTTTCTATGGACGGAAAAGAGCAGATACAGATTAAATGGTTTTCAATGCATTCCTATCGGCAATGCAGATTCGACCTACAAACTTTTCGACCTAAGAGCCACCTTTCAATACGGATTAAGTTCGTAAGTCGAGAGCCCACTATCATTAGAATGTAGATTCTAATTTAGCAATTTAGTTTGCTTTTTTAATTAGAGCTACCTACTGGTTAGAGTGCTGGCCAGTGACATGGGTTTAAATCCCCATTTGGCTCTGAAACCTACTGGGTGACTGTGGACAAGTCACAGTCTCCCAGCCTGACCTACCTCACAGTGTTGAAACCGACATATACAATCTTGAGCTAACTGGGAAGAAATGGAGAATATAAATGTTAGTGCTAGTATCAATGCCAGTTATTTATTTATTTATTTATTTATTTATTTATTTATTTATTTATTTAACTTTTATGCCACCCACACTACCCGAAGGTCTCTGGGCGGCTTACAGCATTTATAATCCATCCTTGGCTTTTGATTTTCTATAGATTGTCATTTCTATTATTCTATTGACAAGCCAACATTTGATGGGCTTCATAAAACAGAAATAATAATAATACTGTATATTGTTGTGTAACTGGTCATTGGGAGACAGCAGGGCTTCTAATATGTGTTCTGACCCATAGACTTTAAGGACAAAACACTTCCACCCTCGACAACCACTTACAACAATAGCAGCCGTAGCAACAATGCTGCTTCTAAGGTATGTTAATGTTGCCTGTTTTTTTGGGCAGAGTCAGACTCTTCCCAGCTAGACTGGATTTCCAAAAGGCAACACCCTGGGAAGAGATCTCTGCATGATTTGGAGAAGAGGCAGCACCCTGGAAAGAGAGAGGAAAACAACGATGTCGATCCCTACACAGAACTGGAGAAAAGGCAGCATCCTGGCAAACGATCCCTGTGGGATCCATACCTTGACATCCCTAGCAGCCAGCTAGCTTATCTGAATGAATTATCCAAAAGGCAACACCCAGGCAAGAGGTATCTGGTGTACAGCAAACGACAGCACCCTGGCAAGAGAGGCTGGGACGAGGAGACAGAAGAAGGCGAGCAGACCTTTGAGAAGCGACAGCATCCGGGCAAGAGGTACCTAGGTTCAGAGAGTCCAGACTCCATTCTCCCCTGCGACCCACATGACGCCTTGGAATGCAGCAAAGGCAGCCTGCTGTTGGAGTTGCTAGATAGCATCAGCAAAGGGAGGGCAGAAGAGAAGCGTCAACATCCTGGAAGAAGGGCTTTGTTGGATGGGGAGGTGGAGGCCGAGGAGTGAGGAAGGGCCTCTTTCTCTGTGTGTTTGTTCATTGTTTACATCCCTTCGAATTATTCCTCCTCCTGATAACTATTCAAAGCTCCACCCCTTCCCCCTCCCCTGACTCTCTGCTTGCTGACCTACTTCACTGAGTAGGTCTTTGAAGTATCTTCCTTTCTGGACTGGTATGGTCCAGAATGAGCAGTGTGTGGACACGTAGTTTGCCTTTTGAGGACAGGATGGGATTGTCTCCGTGAGAGTCCCATTATTAGGCTCATCTCCCTTTGTAAAATAAAACACGTTGAGAAAGGATGATTCCAAGCTTTCTTTTCTCTCTAGAGACCTCAAGGCCAAAGATGCAGGCAGGAAGGCAGGTACAATCAAAATGAGAGGATGGTCAGATGTGAATCCTGTCGTTCACAGCTGGGAAACCAACTCCATAAAGGGCTTCCCAGTGATAGGTTTCTCATAATAATATATGATTATCCCCCCCTTGACAAAGTGGCATGTCTACCTGTTTTGTGGCCATTTCCTTCAAAAGGTTTTGAGCAGAGCAGGAAAGAGAAGTCTGCCCCTTTTACCCACAAGCCTCGTGGAAGTTCAGGGGAAGCTTCTCTCACTTTTTTTCACCTTTCCCCACAGGCCAAGATTTTCCACACACACTGCTGTTTTTCCTAATAGAAAAGCAAGAGGCACATTTGGGAACACTGCAGTTACCTCCAATTACTTGTCAGAGACAGCAGAATTCCCTCCCACCTATGCCCCTTGCCCCCACCCCAAAAAGGTCAATAGTGTGCAGGGAAGGACCCCCACTGTTCTCTCCAATCAGCTTATAATATCTATCATGGCAGAGAAATATAATTTCACAATCAACTGCAATTCCTTTGCTGAACAGAAGTCCATCCACTTAATCCTGGGGCTGCTTCAAATAGGCAAATGCTTCCAGCAAATAGCATTTCCATGGAGAAGCTTCATGCCGGCATAGTAAGCTGGATACTGTGAATTGGACAAATGGTGAGACAGTGAGCCCAGTGTGTGACTTTTGTCATATGCCAGCATGAGTTACATTAGCATATCCACCATGGGAACTACTGTACCTGCACTACTGATGGATAAAGAAAGGGACCAGGACAGGATGAAGTAATGGAGACAGGTGGGACTTCATAAGTTGGAAGGTGACTGCATTCGTTTCTACACATGCAAATTCAGCACATGGACATGCTTTTTCATAATAAATTAGCATATACCATCTTGGCTGCCTTGTTTATAACAGCCTCCCAAAACTAAAAACTACATTCCCTTTCAGAGGCGTTGGGCTACTCCCATCTGTTCATACCTGGGGCACCAGGCTAGGAAAAGTTGGTTTGGAAGAGCTCATTAAGTGATCTGAATCCATTAAGTTGTGAATTTCCTCCACTCCGGGCAGTGAACATTAAAAAAAACTTGGAAACCATGATTGTGTTGATAAGACTGATGAGAATAACATCTGGATTAATCTTTATCCTTGGCGACAAGCAACAGGACAAACGTATAATAAATCATACAGTCTTCATCAATTAAAGAGAAGCAGCGAGGGATTTGAGAAATATAAAAGTGGCCAATGTAAATTGTTGGCAGTTTCTTACAGCCTCAGTTTGGTTGCTAATATATGATATGGACAAAGTGTGTCTTTTAAAAGAAGAGATGGGGATTGTGTTGTCCTCTAGACATTGCATGACTGCAGTTTCCACCCTTCCTCATCATAGGCTATGGTAGCTTCAGTCAATGAGAGTTGCAGTCCAGCAACATTCGAAGAATAATACATTCCCCACCTGTAGTTTAAAACTATCTGAGTTGAGGTATGACATAAAGGCAGCAGGAACAACATTGTCCCGACTGTTACTGCTGCTGCTTGCAAGGTGGATAACCAGGGACAAGACAGGGCTGCTTATATAGAATCATAGAATGATAAGAGTTGGAAGGGGCCTGTAAGGCCACCGAGCCCAACCCCCTGCGCAATGCAGGAATCCAAATCAAAGCAGATCTGACAGATGGTTGTCCAATTTTTTTATTGAAGGCCTCCAGAGTTGGAGTGCTCATCACATCTCAAGGTTGTTGGTTCCATTGTTGTACTGCTCTGATAGTTGGGAAATTTATATATAACTGAGCCCAACAGCCTGCACTCTGATGTTCAAGGGAAATTAGCAAAAATGGAACCAAGACCAAGCAACTTCCTGAAAGCAGCCTGATTTACCAGCATGAGTAAAAACCACTGTGGATTATGGGGTGGAGATGGGGATATTTTGAATTTCTCTTGGTATTTTTACAGTCATGATAGGTATATTCCACCAGTATATATACTGAATTAATGAACCTACATCCTTTCTATTGGACCCTGTTATCTCACATCTCCAGCCTAGGTCTTTCCCATCTAGTGCCCTCTAGATATATTGGATGACATCTTCATGTGACAAAGAGGCAATATGTGTGTGTGTGGTGGAGGTATCTTAATATAGAGCTCTCCTTTATGATTGTGAGCCACCAGTGTCTTCTCTCTGCTCCCTAAGGTACATCAGACTGCCATTCTGTTAAGGAAGAGATCAGTGGACATACAGAAATAGCATGTGTATTTTAACAAACCAAGACACTTGTCCACAAATGGATTCACAATATAATACTTGTAAATTGCAACAAGCATGCATCTTCATCTTACTGTGGAGCTTTTCATTTAAGACTCTTCTTCAACTGTTCCAAAACAAAATGTCTTCACTTTCTGTAGGCGAAAGGTGTTCAAGTCAACAAATATGCTTCATGAACAACTGTCCCGATTCAGTTGTCTTTTTGGATTGTACAACTAACCGCAAATAAACAGTCTGCCAAATGACCAACATCCTCTTGATTAAAAAGAAAAATGAAAAGCAACTCAACATGGGGGGGAGAGTCCTGTAACCCCCCCCATATATATCTTCAAAACCTGTGTATGATGATGGTAACTGCATGTATTCTGCATTAGTACAAAAGAAAGGTCCGTACAAGAAAAGCCGAGTCTCTCTCTCTCTCTCTCTCTCTGCTTGTGTATGATAAATAAAATAGACTGCAACATGAATAAACCAACTAGCAGTTTCCTTAAATAGTTTCATACAAGAGCTTGACTTCTGGGCACAAGAGTAGTGGAGAATTTTTTTTTCTGCTGAAGGCTCTGTTCTCTTGTTAGTGATCTGTTGATGGCCACATGTTTACGGTGGGTGGAACTGGAAACCAGAGCGGATAAGACCAGAGACAAAGGTGGGCGGAGCCTGCAATGTGCCGCAGCTGTGTGTGCACGCCATGCCACCCCCCCTTCTCTATCTATGCCATTTCATCTCTCTTGCTTCCCTTCTCTATGCTGCATGATTTCTATGGGCTGCAGGAAATTAGGACAAAGACTGAATATGAGTCTCTGGCCACAGGTTTGCCACTTCATTTTAACACCAAAGATGCACAACACAGACTACTGGGTCTGCTTGTCCTGACGAAAAACAGTAGCTGACATAGCTGGCAAAATAGCTATTTATAATTAAATAAATAATATGTGTCATTTCGGTGGTTACTGTCCAAACCTGGTAAATCTGCACAGAACATTAATAAACATCATAGGAATATGAGGGACAATGGATGATCAAATACACTTTCAAAATATTTATGCAAGAGTAGGTTGCAAAGGGGTATGGCTGCTCTGTTTTTCATACCGAAAATGTTGCTTCCTGGTGATGCCTGCTTTTCATCTCTTGAATAGGGCCCCTTCTTCTATGTTCTGACTTTTGAGAAGTCCGGACGAGAAGGCTTTGATTTTTTTTTCTTAGAGCAAAGGTATGTTGTAACTCAACTTGCAGGGTCAAGAGGTGCAAGTCCCCGAGTCTCAGAGCATTCCGTTTAGTAGGCTCCAAATGATCTGGATTATTTCCCACCTTAGCAACCTGGCCTCTAACTGAGTTGAGAACATTTAACTGAATTGCTTTTCCTATTAAGGAATCGCTGTGGTGACATTCATCTCACATACATGGGTGAGCTGCCGCCTGCTTGGTTAATGCAGAAAGAGGAGAGCTGTATCCAGTGCCATAGAATAAATTGACCAGATGACAACGTCCAAATATTAAACAACTGGCTTCACCTCACTGTTTAAGGCACTACTGATATGACTTCCATACACAACAGCGCTCCTCAGATAGTAAACCTTAATCTATTTATCACAAAACTGTTCAAAAGGAGGAGACATAGTAGGGGCAGAAGGCAGATGATGTTTTTTGGGAGATAATATTAGGAATGCAGTGTCTACTCAGCACCATCATCACTGATCCTTCTAACAATGAACTGAACTGACAGTGCTGAAGGACTGTGCTCCACAAGGGGCCACTCAGAAACAAAAGGACCAAAGCGGTCTTCCCGTGCTGAGCAGGGGGTTGGACTTGATGACCTTCTAGGCCCCCTCCAACTTCACTTTTCTGTAGTTCTGCAAAGAGCAACATCCCAGCCTACATCAAAGGGCATGTCAAACACCTGTAGGGTGCCTGTTTGGGAGAAGACAGAAAACCATGGAGGAAATAGAATGGAGTGATAACTTGTCTGGGAAAAATATGACTACCAGTCTGGAACAGTGAACAGAAGCTCTCCATACTTTAACATATTGTTGCTGGTCACACATGTTTCTTCTGATACTCATCTCAGGGAGTTGAGCACATGGAAGTGGAACCGAGGCTAGAAAAGACATTAGGGATGGCTCCCATTTGGGAAATTCGTAACTAATGTGAGTGTTGGAGCATCACAGGAAGAGCTTTTCTCTTGTCTGGAGTTATGCAGATTAGGTGGTTTTTGTTTCATGATTGGTTGACATAGGTTGATTTCACAAACATGGAAAGACTCTCAATCATTTCTCTGCAACATTCACATGCATTTAGCTCTAAAGTACAGGCTATCTCTAACATTTATTTCTGGCCAAAGTCACTTTAAAAAGGAGTGGTTTCTGCACAATCAGGGTACAAGTAATATATAAGTTTGGAAATTAAAAGAAAAAGCAAAAATTTAAAAATCTTAAAACATTCTGGCAGAAGCTTAATATATATCTCATTCTTTGGACTGAAAATGGCATGCAAGGCAGGTAACAGAAGAAAAAATTAAATAAAAAGAAATGCAATTAAAACATATTTTTTAAAAATCAAATACATCAATAAAAATAGTATTTTTCAATGTTCTCAGCTGGCCTCCTTCAACCTTGTATGCCCATAATCTCTAGTCAATTCATGGTGCCTGAAGATGATGAGGAGTTGTAGTGTAGTACATCTATAGGATATCAGATTGCGTAAATGTGATCTGAACATGTTCTGACAATATTCAAGGAGCAAAATACAGGAAAGTAGTCTTGAGGTAGGCATTGCAGCCAAGTCACATGTTGCATATCTTGTCTTGGCTTAGATGAGATATCATGAGAAGAGGAAGAGACCTCTATATGCGTTGGCTTTTAAAATGAGAATTGTCTGGCTCTGAGAATCTGGGAGCTGACCTTAAATTTTTGTTGTTGTTGTTTAGTCATTATTGTATCCGATTCCGTTCCAAATATATGAACAATAGGTGCACTCAGCTGGGTAGTGACCAACACAAAAAAACCCCACAACCCATGCAGCCATTCTATTGTTTCCTCCTTACTGAATTTTATGTGGTGAGGAAAAACAAAGCAGCAGGGAACACAGGTGGGTTATACATGGAAGATGATGACTCTGGATCTGGACCTTTTGTCAGATTCTGTGACCAAAGCACCAACTGCACCATAAAACCTTGCCTACAAATTTAATTTATTTATTTATTTATTGGATTTCTATCCCGCCCATCTAGACCAAAGGTCTACTCTGGGCAGTTTACAAATTTAAAACAATGAAACCAATAAAACCAATATATACCAATGAACATATATTATATATCCAAGATGGCAAATGTTTCAGAATCTTCAGTTAATTTATTATTAGCTACATCAGTTAAACAGAAACTGTACAGTGGTGCCTCGCTAGACGATGATAATCTGTTCCACCAAAATTGCTGTTTAGCGAAATCATTGTCTAGCGAAAAGCATTTCCCCATTGGAATGCATTGAAACCTGTTTAATGCATTCCAATGGGGAAGAATCGTCATTGTCTAGCGAAGATCGGCCATAGGAAAGCCACTTTGCGAACTGCCGATCAGCTGTTTAAATCGCTGTCTTGTGAAGCTTAGGTCCAGAAAACACCTGTTTTGCGAGCGCGGAAGGAGCTGTCAAAATCGTCATCTAGCGAAAATCAGTTCGCGAAGCAGGGACCAAACATTGTCCAGCGAAATTCCCCCATAGGAATCACTGTTTTGCGAATCGCTATAGCGATCGCAAAAAGCCAATGTCTAGCGAAAAAACTGTCATGGTGGGTAACTGTTTAGCGAGGCACCACTGTATTTAGAAGCAGTATACTACTGAAAACCAGAGGCTGAAGACAAACGAAGGAATAGCTGTCACGTGGAAGCTTCCTGCTTTTGAAATATAGTAGATTAAAGGGACAGCATTGGGGCCTGTACCTAAACATTGCAGTACATAATTTTCCTGTTCCATTCCAACCACTCCATCCCATACCTCTCCCCTTCTCTCTTGCAACAGTCAGTTAATATTATTACTCCAGACAACACGCTCAATTTGTGTTTGTCTGTTCTTAGAGATCCTGTTTCCCCACTGTGGAAATAATTTGTTTCTAAAGTTATCTTGTGTTTCTGAAAACACATGCCTCCTCCTTCTGCCTTGTGGTAACCAAGGGGACTCTTCTGGCTATATAAGCAATGACACTCACAGCCTGCATGCTGGAAATAGATTACTGTACATGCTTTGGTCTGATCTAGCAAATATGGCGGATTTTATTTCTCTCTCTCGCAGGCTTCAGGCAATTCTTTATTTATCTCTGTGTCTTTCATGATGAACCTATTTTCCCCCCATAACATGATGCTTGGAGACACATAGCCCACT